TCTCGATTTTGGCAAGGCATATGTCCCTCCAAGCTGATTAGATGCTTATAACGCCTTCCGCATACATTGCATCTTTAAGGTCTTTCATCAGTATGTACAAGCATGTGTCTTTCCATATGTTGTTTAGTTAAAAATCCTTTGTTGCATTCACTGCATTTGTATGGTCTTTCTCCCGAATGCGCGCGCTTATGTATAATCAAAGTTTGCCTATATTTGAATGCTTTGTTGCATTCTCCACATTTGAAGGGCCTTTCACCACTATGGGAACGCATATGTTGAGATAAATCTCCCTGACGTTTAAACATTTCTCCACATTTCCTGCATTTGTACGGTCTTTCTTCACTGTGGACCATTTTGTGAGAGTTCAGTTCAAATTTTCTAAAAAACTGATTTCCACAAGATTCACATTTGAATGGTTTTTCGTCGCTATGTCTGCGTTTGTGAGCGTTCAAAGATCTTTTATGTTTAAAGGTATTTTTACATACATCACAAATGAAGCGATTTTCACTATTTGTTGTTTCCTTACTCATTTTTGCGATACTCTCAACAGCTTCATCTAAAGGCCCATGTTTAATTGGAAGGTCATTGTCCACAATAGAGCTAAAATACGAAGAATTTGTGGAAAACAGTCTCTTTTAACGTCCTGTCTATAGTTAATAGTTATTCCACTTACAGCAATATATGTAAGATGGAATATCAAATTATTGGGAAATCATGTTTGTATCGGATACTTCTCAGGTTAACAAATTTCTCTTTTACAAGCTTAATCACTATTGAAGCAAAACAACTACATCCAAGATACACGAACGCCAATGAGGTAATAACCGGATTACGATGAAAGTCGATAAATATAATTGGAACATTGATCGAGATATGGCTCGGCAAAGTCATCAAAGCACCGTGAATATGGACGCGTTTTATTGAATCCATTTAAGAACAATTATATGCGAAACAAAGTGCAACAACCAGTTCTAACATGACTTAGCAACTCAATGCACATTTATTTGAATTCTCGTCAATCATATTTGCATGAATAATAGACAAATCTTTCCTTACTGCCGTTTAAGATCGAGTTTCAATGGCTAAATATATTCGTTAACCTTTGTCAAGCCAACAAATTAACCATTCTTGAAATGTCCTAAAATATTCAGACTTGCAACTACATTTCTGAACTAAATGTTTTCCAAAATTAGATAAGGAAATAATTTTTACAATGGGGGTTAAGAGATGGAACTGATTAAAAAAGGCTTCAACAAAATTTTCATTTTTATCGAGTGTTGGAAACGAAAGGATTGAACACTAGCATACCTAATGAAGTTGTCGAATTCATATTCTGCTCATGAACTGCCTGAAAGTGAATTGGAATTTTATTTCTGACTTCGGATCTAAAATTGCAGCTATGGTAATTAAAACAATTGACTGGAGAGTTGGTCAAGAGAGAATCGTCGATTTGATAGTGAGTGAGTGACTGAGGTTACCAGTTAGATACGACGTCGCGATCTCCATTTAATGGTAGGAAATTTGCATGGGTGCAAAAGGCTTAGAATCTGTGAATTAATGCAATTATCCGAATTTAGTTTATTACAAATTAAAATGCTATCATCTCATGAATAAAAATTTCTGCCAAAATAACGCCACAGATATTCGAATGCCGCATTATTCTCATTCTTTTAGAACTTATTCCCAATTAAGCGGATTTAATATATTCATATTTTAAAAGAAAGACATACCTAGGATAAGTTGAATTTGTGTTCACATTTGGAGATAAAACTTGCTCTTCATTGTGGGGGATGTTAGAGGTGTTGTCATTTGGTGTCGCGGAGCTCTGTTGCGGCATCGCAGGCAAAGTCAAAGGGTTAACTCCTACTGCTTGATTCATATTATCTAATATTGACAATAATTTATTTTAGAGATTAAGCCAACAAAAATGCGTTTATGTAAACAAATTATTTTCGAGGAAATTTAATCGAACAAACACGAAAATGCACTACCCAGCATCTATTTCATTTGCTGGTGCCTGTCTTTTAAACCCGAGGGGTACATACCGCAGTAATCTTTAATTGTGTGTAAGAAATACAGATCAATTTTGAATTTGGAAAATAGGATAATAAATGCGGCTTGCCTGGTAAAAAATTTGAACCAAATTCATTTAACGATTTATTGGATGCCTTTGAATTGGAAGAAGATTCCGATTTCGTCCCCAATCCCCATTTGAGTTATTTCCCTTTTGTCATATTTTGTTCCCAAATCGTTGTATAAGCCTATAATGAAGTAAAGATTAATATCAAATGTGTCAAATTCTGTGAATAAATGAAGTTATTGGCTAATTGCTTGACCAGCCTTCATCCTGATTATAATTCATTAGATCAAAGTTCTGAGATTCATTTATCAAAACCTTATTCGATATTTTTAATTTGTTGCATTAGGAATTGCACTATAACTGCTAAATATTATTATCTTTTTAAATTTAAATCAAGTTCAACTTGAAATTACACTTGATGATTAAATTTCCCGAAGATTGCTAGAATACTTCAATATTGACTCCCAATTTAGGTGTGACTAAGGCAATATTTTCGGAAATCTCCGGCGGATTATTGAAGACCATCTTAAATTCACCATTTTTGTAAAAAATAGTATATTGCTTGCATGTTAAGATCCAACATTTTATTTTCATGGCATTCACTCTAGCAAGCACAAATCGTTCCGTGAGGTCCATTTCCTCATTTTATCTTGATTCGGCTTGTTATACTTCTACTTATGAAATACCCTATAATGCACATTTTATAAAATTTTTATTTGTTCAGCAGTTATGGGAACAAATTAGTAGTCTTGAATAAATCAATAAAGTATGACACGTTTATTATCGTTGCGAACCAAATTTGCCAACTATGACCGTAATTTAGAAATCGACAGCTGTCAAAAATTACATTCTCGAAACAGTTAAACGTTTCTGTTTGTGAATAAGCCCAGAGCACTGACCATGGATACCAAGCATATTTTAAAGAGAATGTTTTTATCTAATATGCCTGAGACAGTGTTTCTTTTCCGAGCCTTAAATGCCATATTTTGTTCAAATTTAACTTTTTGTCTTTTAGTAGCAAATTATTGAATTTGATAGGAGTTTCATAGGTTGTTTAATTCTTATCCCAATAAATCAAAATTTAAGCGTCTGAGTCAAACTTATGCAATTTATCAACTGTTGTTAAATCAAATATTTATACAGGCAATTGGCCGTTTTTGAGTTACTATCAAAAGGACCTTTTAGGTGATCATGTTTTTTGGGAAGGGATGTAATTTTGAGCAGAATCTCATTCAAAATAAATGAATCTTGACTTATGGAAGACAGGAGATACAATTCTAATTTAAGCTTTTCTATGACATTACATACTTAAAAATACTGGCTCATATATCGAGATATTAATTTGAATCAAGGTTAACTGTGCTTAACTTTGGAGCATCATTAATTAAAATAGAATCATTTGCTATGTTTCCAAACAATAAACAAATGATTTCTGCTGATAGATTGGTAGCATCTTCTTCCACTGTGTGGGCGGACATGTTTCTTTCGTTTAGACCTAATGGCTTTCCGTACAATACCTGCAATATCTACATGGGTTATAAATTTATATTAGTGTAGGTCTGACCAGATTAAAGGTAGTAAATTTTTGAAATGCCTATTAATATTCAAAAACAATTATTTATTTACTGTATTTAAATTAATACACAACAACATTGTATGTCCTTCTTTAAGTGGCTATGCTGGTCTAGAGACATGCAATATAGGTAATTTTTGAAGTGCTATAAAAAACAAGCAGTATTTTTATTATCAATATTATATACATTATTTATTCACATTAGAAGCATACAAAAAATAAGGAAATGAAAAAATTTAAAATTCCGTTAATTATGAGCGGATGGAGTGGGGCGTCTCAAATTCGATGCAATCTGATAACAAAACATGAAAAATATTTTTCAATCTTCAATAAAAGCCGCTTTGTCCGGAACTACGGAAAAGTTTAAGAAATATATTTTTTGCAAAATAGACATTGTCTAAAGAAAAAACATTTTTGAACCACTTTTTAGAACGTACTTCGATTTTTTGAAAATAATAAAAATGCCAATTTGGGAATGGCCGTGGAACTGAACATAGAAGAAGACTCTCTTAAAATTTCAGATAAATCGGTTTGGCAGAATCTGAGAAATCGAGGGTATCAGATTCATAAAAAGGGTTTTGAGAAAAACGTGTTTAAAGTTTCAAATAAAATATTTTGCAGTCTAAGTCATGAAATTATATTTTTAACTTACATTTATTCAATCTGTCATTCCTGATGCATGCATCGGAACTTTCTTGACTTCGAAAAAAATTATTTTTGGTGTTTCTGTTTTCTATTCGATCAGTTCTGGCCTCCTTTTATGCGCTGGATGCTCGTATCTCGGAGCGGTCAATCCAGGCGTTGTCTCGTCTGATAACAAGTGCATGCGGTTGTGGACCAATTTTCACTCCCATAATCGTCATCATCTTCAATATTGAAATAAAGCCTTCATTAGAAACACACACAGTAATAAATGTTTCAATTTCACTGATCTGAGACCCGGAATGGATATGCTTAGGAGCGAAACTCTATATCAGGGAGTTTAGAGACTCATTATTATTTTGAGTTTTTGAACACAAACACCGAATCAATAACACTTCTGATGATAAACCTCGAAGGATTTGTCAAAAAATGGACATGATGGAATGTAGAGTAGACTATCGCATCTGCATTGTAATGCAATTTTGAACCGAAGTCAGTTTTGAGCCGTTATTGAAAATCTAATCTCATTGTTTTAAGCAATACAAAAAATTTATTTATTTATTTCAAATGGCAGGCTTTACGATATTTATCATTAGCCCTTAATTTTTGACTTCAGCTTCCCCCAGGGGTCTGCCTCATCATTTATTTCAAATGGCAGGCTTTATGATATCTATCATATTAGCCCTTAATCAAGGGATCATTAGCCCTTAATCCTTGACTTCAGCTTCCCCCAAGATCATTAGCCCTTAATTTTTGACTTCAGCTTCCCCCAAGAAAGGGGGGGGGGTACACTTATAGCAGTTAATTAATAGCAATTCATTAGCTGTCTTCTTGCTTCCCAGTATCTTTGGCTTTCCGTCGTTGTCTTTAGGGCTGGACACCGAATCAGGTGAGTCTTATCCATTTCCTCCTGTAGGTTACATAGAGGGCATGTGGGTTGAGTGTATACTCCCAATCTGTGAAGGTGTTTTGCCAAGCAATCGTGTCCGGTACGCAGTCTAAACTCAGCAACGGCTTCGATTCTTGCCCTTTCGGGTATGTCGGAGAGTGCCACTGTCCACTATTTCTCCTCTGTTCGAGCTTTAATTTCGTTGTACCTTGAGGTCTGGAATTCTCTCCTGATTAAGGACTTCATTGTGTGGAAAGACACCGGCTGGTTCATGCATTGCAAAATCGTTGTCCCCTTCTTAGCAAGTTTGTCAACTACATCAAACTCTGCTAATGGTTTCATGGGGGGAAAGAGCCTTTTTGGTTTGTCATCGATTTGTAATGCTTTCTTCAGTTCTATGGCTTTCTGTATTAGACCAGATTGCGTTTTCAGGTGTCTTGGTCTATTCTCATAGGTGCTGAAGAACTTGTCCATGGGAATGCGCAGTAGCTTCTCGTACAGGATCAAGGCCTTCTCTTTGATAAGGGAACCTATTGTGGTGC